TCAAACCGCTGAAGCGTCGACCATTTCTGGCCAGCAACTTTCAGCGTCATTAAGCCGCTGCATGCCAAGACTACCAGAATTGATTTGTGATGACATATACATCAATAAATTCTGTTTTTATTAATTATTCAAATTTTCCTTATACTTCTTATGTGAAAATAATCTCTGTTATTCTGAAAATGCCTCCAGCAGAAAGTCAGAAGAAAGTACTGGCCACATTTTCATCACTCTGTACTATGGTATCTCTCTTCCATGTCTCAACAGCTGTGGTCTACCTGAGTTTCAGTCAAAGTATTTAGTGGACATTAACATGTTTCTAACATTGTTCCATACCCTTGTTGTAGCTGTGTGTAATCCCATCATTTATGTCTTGAGAAACAAAGAAATAAAGATGTCCTTAATGAGTTGTTTCCTAGAAAAGTATGAGACCATATTCTAATAAATTTCTGGGTGAGAATATCATATTACTGCTTCAGATATAGATTTCGTTTTCCTCTATAAATTACAAACTCCTTCAGAAATGAAGTGGTGAGAGCTTTTTATATCCTCTTCCCATTCATTTTAGATTCATCCAAGGTGATACAAATGTATGTGGAAAAATTACTATCAAGTGGCCTTTCCATGAAGTAGCCCAAACCAGCTAGCAACAAAATAAATATTAGAACCAAATAGAATTTGTCAGTAGGGAAACTACAATGTGGCATATTGCCATGAAAACACATAGCTTTTTCAGTTGTGGCCCCTTTCCTCTGTAATGAGCTTTTTGAGATGCTCAGTTACATTTCTGTTTTTTATACTTTTTTGTTAACTTTGTTAATTGAACTAACTCAATGAAATTCAAAATAGTAATGAACAAGCACAGCACAGGAACAAGCAAAAATAACAACAGAATCAGGATTGTGCAGGGTCCTTATTCTGTTGTCATTTTTACTTGTTCCTGTGCTGTGCTTGTTCATTACTATTTTGAATTTCATTGAGTTAGTTCAATGACTTTACTAGAACAAGACTTGAAAGGACACAAAAGAAGTAAATTATATTGCATTAAAGATAATGTGTTTGGAGTATAATAGAATAGTATTCCCCATATGCTGTTGTTTTAGAAATTTTCTTTTTCTAGCACACTCTGTTTTTTCCCCCAATATTGGTCTAACAAAGAGCCTTCTACTTGATATTATTCCTTTATTTCTCTGTTGTGTTATATTTTGCCATATAATCCTCTGTATATTAGTAGAACTTGCTCTTGAAAAATGCTTACAGGACAACAGTTTGAATTATCTTGTTATTGGTTGCCTAGGATAATTTTATTTATTTATTTAAATTTATTGGCTGTCCAACTCCAATGGACTCTGGGCCATAGAAAATAGTTTTATTTTCAAATAGAACTATGGAATGCAATATGGTTGAATGAATGTTTTGTTTCATTTAGAGATTGTGCACCCCTCCATAAAGAATATACATTTGACTTTATTTTGAATGAATTGTAAAATAGATAAATTCTCTTATTATACTTACATGCTGATATTTTGGCTTGTTCATACAGTGAACATTTTTGGGAAAAAAAATCCATGTGTATGGAAACTTAATTGCCTTATTGAATAGCCATAATTGTGGAACTATCTTAAATATTTAAAAGAATGCAGTGTCTAAAATTTCTCCTTCCCTTTGGGTAAAAATAAAGGAGAAAGAAAGAAAGAAAGAAAGAAAGAAAGAAAGAAAGAAAGAAAGAAAGAAAGAAAGAAAGAAAGAAAGAAAGCCACAAAGATTGTAGAAATAAATGTTAGAACTGACTGTATCTATGCATTTTCTTCCTTAATTTTCCCCCCACTTCATTGTTGCCTGCCACAATATCTAAATTCTAATCTAAGGCAGGTATCAAGCCCCTTAACAAAAACACACAATTACGAAAGCAGTGGAGGTCAGATACACAAATTTGGAAACTAAATATGCAAATACTTAAACTTGGAAACTAATTACATAATATATATGTAATAAATAAGTCCTCATTCATTTATGAATACATTAAATTAGGCTCTCTCAACTTCTTCTTCTAGATTTCTTAAGTGAGGAGCTAACAAATCTTTTAAGAGATAGGGATGAAATGTACGCCTGTTCTTTGTTTCCTATGTTTCAAAATAATTCTCTCCCCACCCCACCCCCAGACTTCAAGAGTTCTCCTACACCAAGATTGCTACTATCATCATTGCTCTTTTCTGTTAGATGTCCCAGTCTATACAGACAAGAGTTCAAAGTGTGATGAGATAAAGCATGTACACAAACCAATTCTCAACATTTTGGCAAACATGGTATCTTTGCACAACTTGGTTTATTGAGTACTTAAACCTACAAATATTTTGCAAGATTTTCATGTGGACTTTTGTTGGGAGGAGGAGTACAAAAAGGTCTGTATCCAAACTTTATCTCAGTATTTAAAATAATCAGAAGAATTAATGTATTCATTCAAAGCAGTAAAATCTGGGCCTTTCAGAATGTTAAAAAGTCTCTGATAAATATACAAACTTTTCCCAAAATGGTAACCCTGGTAAGGCAAACTTCAGCCAAACAACTTCACAAGTAAAATCTGGAGAGGAACCACTACCTTACTTCTATCACATCATGCTTTTAAAATCTATATTTGTAACTCAGATCTCTATAGAGGAATTCCCCTGGGACGAATCTGCATCATGACTAGGTCTTTTTCAACAAACACTAAATTATCTGTTTAAGACAATGCTGTATCAACTAGCTGGGAGTAAATTCCTATCCTTAAGCACACTTGCCTGTCTAAACTGCTGTTGTCTAAATATACAAATCACTAGTCATCCTCACTTCCAGGAAAGTTGGTGGTGCTGTAATACCAACCAACCAACCAACCACCTATATTCTGTCCAAACCATTAAAGGCAAATGGCTCTTTCACCATATCTTTCTTCTTAAAATGGACCATTATGCCAAATTGTTAATATCCAATATATGGAATACTAATAGTTGAGAGATGGAGGATAGAAATAACCTTTTTTTCATACTGCTTCATTTTTCTAAAGTTCCTTTTTTCATTGCTTTTACTCATCTGACTGACACAATCTCAAGAGGTAAATTTGAAGAGCTAAATCAACCATAAATGGGGAATACGTAAAGCAATTATTGGCTGCAAGATACTAACCATATCACTATTTTGTGAATAGAAAGCCAAAATAGCTGACGCATGTCCAGTTAGCCTGATGGAACTTGACAGTTCAACATGCAGTCACATTATTCTCTACATCCTTTGACAGAAGCACGTCCTGTATGCTCATTTCCTTCCGGAGGGGGGGGGACCTATATATCTACTATATATGCATAATGTCAGGGCACATGAATTAATACATAAATATGCATCTCTCTCTCTCTCTCTTCATAATTTCATTATTTGGCTCTGAATATGATTAGCTGATATTAAATATGTGTGATGCAAGGAGCAATGAAGGGTAATGGGACAACTGAAATGCACATTATTCACCCATTGTAGACATATTTTGACTATTTGAGGCTATGCATTTTGGAATTAGTAAAAATGAACAAGCACGTTCTTCACGCTTGATACATCACATAAATTAATTGGGCATAGATGGATTTTTTCTTTTTTTGTCTGCGCTCAGTCATTGCTGACCCTGCAGTGACTGCTTGGATGAGTCCTTGCAGTTTT